AATATTCAACACTCAGTTTCTCATTGGCCTTATGCAGTATGCTCAGAGATTCTGTTTGCTGATTGATTGCTGTGGATAGATATCATCACAATGCTGTGAACATTTAATATCCATGCTTTTAATGAAGTTGATTTAAAGACTGGCCTCCTGTTTTAGTACAACAACAGTGATATAGCATTTTGTAAAGATGTAGGTTTACCTGTCTCACTTGTTTCACTGATGACAGTGTTAATCAGTACATTATATAGTCTACTAACCCACCCTTTGAATTTTCAGCAATTTTTGAACTTTATTTGTCACAACAAGTTAAGATGGCCAGGAGGAAATGGGTAGAGTATGAGAAGGACCTGAATGTGCTGATGCCAGAGACTATATAATAACCATGTTTTGTGATTGTCATTTCATTTTCTTACTATCATGATGGAGGATGGAGAGTGCTATGCAAGAATGAGTACTTGATATAGTAGTATACTGTCACTTAGTTTATTTCTGCTTTTGAATTAAGTATAAGAATAAAATAATTTGAGATTATGAAACATAGCAAATCCCACTCACTAGTAATTGCTACACTAAGAAAATTCAAATTCTCATTACTTGTTAGTGTGTTTTGCAGGATGAACAATTTGCACCAAATGCTCTTGTCACAGTGAATGATCATGTGTTTTTTCCTCTTCTTCTTTTTTTGTATTGCTTCCTTTTTGCTTTTTTTTTTTTTTGCTTTAAAAAATGTGTTTCATTTGATTGGACTTGATATTACAAGTTTGATGTGTGCATTTTGAACTCAAATGTATATATATGATGAGTTGAAAGGAAATAACTGGACTGTAAAGAATGGTTTGCTGCTGAGATGACAGTTATGTGTGAGAACCAGTTGAATTCAATTTTACAAGGTTCATGTATACATTCTAAACTCAAGTGTATGGTGAAATAAAAGTTCTGGATAATGAGTGCAGCATTCAGGGGATGCTCATTGTGATTTTCTGAGACTAGACAACAAGAATGATAAGTAAATTAGCATCCTTCAGAAAAGAAAAGAATGAGGGATGTATTTTGATGTGTGATGAACTGTGACTGGTGTTGTCTTATTCCAAATCATAATTATCTGATATGGTCCTAACTTGTACTGTGCTAGCTGCAAATAATGGCTTCTAGTTAAGTCCTTAGTTGTGCATTGCATGATTCTGCTCTATGCCATATCAGAGGAAGAGCAAGAAGAGATCCAGGAGAAAGTCCTTCTTAGTTATGCCCTGCATGATTCTACTCTATGTCATACCAGGGGATGAGCAAAGGGAGAGCCAGGGGATTTTCAAGGTTACCTCTTTGTAACCTTTGGACCTCAGATTTCTGCTGAGCCTCATCTCTGAGAAACTTCAAGATATAAATATGACTTTAGACAAAGAAAGGAGTATGAATGTAAGGAGACAGTTCCTTATGAGAAACATGTCCAATCTAGCTCAGCTTAGTTCAGTATGATCGCTCTTCTTCTAACTGTCATCTGGACCACTCAGCATTCCCTTATTCTTTTCTGCTAGTATTAGTCATCTTTTATAAGTCATTAATCAGACCATTATTCATCTTTGATTATTTTTAGTCATTCTCCTTTACATACCTCAAGCCAATGTATCATATAGTGTTAGTTGTAGGTATCCAAAAATATAGTATATAAGGCAGCCTGCAGGATGAAACATCTTCAGGCTGAACAATAGCAGTGTTTACCAGGCCCACTAAACTGACTATAAGACTATCAGTGATGCGCTCTCCTGTCATTGATGTTCATTCTTATCCTTGCTTACTCCTTGCTCACTCCAGGTCTGCCCTTGTGGCTTGCTCATTACTCACTTGTCATCTGTCTAGGCATTGTCCGGCTCACTTCTTGGTTGAGTATTCCATGGTCTAGCCATCCTCTTACAATGAAGGAGCACCCAAATGCAACTGGCTTGGCCATACCAACATAGTAATGCCTTCATCCCTAGTGATTCTTAGTGAGCTTAGGCTTAATGTTTTCAATCTTTGTAGATCTGGCCAATCAGCTCTCTAGGCAGCAGGAGCAAATACCCTGCTACAGAAAAATTTAGGTGAACCCTTTGCCAATCAAAGGCTTGAGCTTGAGGAAAGGCAGAAATGCACAGTGCAAATATGAAACTTGTTTTTGTGATTTTTGTGAGTTTTTCTGAAAAGATTTCATGTGTTGCTAAGTCCTTCACACTCTCCATCCAACTCTAAATGTCACAACTCAACCCAATCTGTTCATCAATCCTGCCCAGACTTACTGGAGGGCTTACATTCTAGAAGCAGTGACAAGATTAGATGTTGAGATTAGATGATGATAGATAAGGAAATCAGATAAGATAATGTTTTATACATTCTAGAAGCAGTGACAAGATTAGATGTTGAGATTAGATGATGATAGATAAGGGAATCAGATAAGATAATGTTTTAAAAGGTCTTGGCAACATGCAAGCATATGAAGAGATGGAGTGTTTAAATTGTTGGCTCCAACAGGGCTTGAACTGGTCTTTCATTAATTACTTAATTGATATGGTTTATCTTCAAATGCAGCTAGGGCACATTCTCTGACTGCTGGCTTCTGGCTACTGATGCACCCCTAGGCACTTAAATGGCAGGCAGTCTTTGATGTTTTTGCAATATTTCTACTCATTCATCACATTGTGTATCTGGAAGATGTGAATAAGCTCCAATACTCCTTGTAAATGCTCAAACTTGAAAAGCATAAAGTTCATGTTGCAACAGCTATATGTATAAACCAAGAATTGCTATGTTAAATGTGCTTGCAAACAGGCCTTTAGCTAAATGGCCCTGCCTAATCTGGCCAAATCTAACCAAACTTCTTTGGTGATCTGAACTGCCACTTCTAGTCAAAGGCTGGGTGATTATAGCAAGATCTTGGCATATGGCAGGCCAGAGAGAAGCAAATCAGGCTGAATCCTTAGCTCCTTCAGTTAAAGAATGTTTTGTTCAAGATGTTGATAAATCAGTATAGATTGCTTTTTAGTAATTGCATT